TGTTACTAGAAGCGATGCACTTGTTACTAGTAGCGAACATTGCTCCGTTCGTAGCGATGCCAAGAGCCCCTAGTAGCGTCCTTGCCCCTAGTAGCTTCCTACACCCCCCCGCGCGCGCGCGCGCGCGAAAAGGTCCTAGTAGATTCCTTTGCTAGTAATTACAAGTGCCTTACTAGTAGTAACAAGAAGCTATTCATTAGAATTCTAATTAAATTCTTCTTGTTACTACCAGTAAGGCACTTGTTACTAGAAGCGATGCCCTTCAGCTCCTTCGTTCACGGCGGTCTCTGCCAAGGTCAGCAGCTCTTGGAGATCCGACGGGAAATACACGGCCTCGATGTCTCTCCGTCGTCTCCGCCTTTTGGACGGCTTCGTCTCGTTTGTCCCGGTCTCATAGCTGGCCAGGCCACGATCCAAGAAGAAGCGTGCCAAGTGAGAATCGGATTTGGACTCACCAGTGACAAGGACACAAAGCTCTGGAAGCCCAGTGCTCTGCGGAACCAGCTGAATCTTCACGTGCAATGCTTTCACTTGAGCGGAACCTAATGGCGTTTGGAAAGGCATCCAGCATTGGAGCCAGTGGGTGGTTGGAGCACTAGGTGAAGTGGACAAAATCACCTCATGCTCTCTGCAGCACTGAAGGTCGAACCAACCGACCAAACCACTTGCACTTCCATCACTTCCTCCACTCAACTGAAATCTCTTGGGGGGACTCTCGAAGAGATCCTCTATGCTGCAAGTGTTTAGGTCGAGGTCCAACAGGAGATGCGGATTTCCGTGCAGGTATTCTTCGGGGATCGCCTTGATGGAGTCAATTGAGCAAAAAAGTTGCTGAAAAAAGCCTGCTACGATTGACAAGGGTGGAAGGAAACTGCTACTAAAAGAGCCTTCACAGCTGCAAGCTGTGCCTGTTTCTCTATGCCCAGTCACTCTAGGCCCACACTTCATGGCTTTTGCACCTGGAGGGCTTGCGGCTTGCACCCAAATGCGCAGCAGCCCAGGCAGCATGCGTGGTCGGCACGATGCACGGCCTGGAGAGAGGGGTCCCAGCCTATCGGTGTCTTTGCGTTTCATTTCGGAACCTCCTGGCTTTGGGTTGGAGGCCATTACTACTAGAAACAAGAAGCTACTAGTTACAAGAAGCTACTAGGGGCTCCTGGCATCGCTACTAGGAGCAAGGACGCTACTAGTAGCTCCTGGCCTTACTACTAGGAACAAGAAGCTACTAGTAGCTAGAAGCTATTAGGTTGGAGGCCATCGCTAGGTTGGAATCTATGAATCTCTCAATTGGAACCTCTTGAAGAGTCTTGGTTCCAGGTGCCGACCAGCGGCACAAGGAATCACGGCAGCGGAGCAAAGGGCGAGCCATGCCCTCGTTTAATGCCATGATCCCCAACCACTCCTCAGATTTCGACACTTGCTGTCTTAGATCTAGATTTCTTGGTCCTTCGCAACCCTAAACCTTAAACCCGAATTAATTTTCCATAAACATTTAGGAACCAAATGAATAGCGCGAGCTATCCTGCATCCTGTCGGTAGTAGCGTTCTAGTGAGGTAGTAGCTACCTAGTCTCTACTAGCTACCCTAGCTGCGTCCATGCTAGTAGCTTAAGTAAGGTACTAGTTACCTCTCCCTTACTGAATTAAGTAGGGAGGTGGGAGCGGGCTTAACAAAAATAGTCATACGGCCCATTTGGGCCAAGTGTCCGAGACTATGAGAGCTGCTCCACTGCCTGGCCAACCGGGTCGGTCGCAAACTTCCTCCGCAAAGCCACAGTGGACCGTCACTTTTGCACTCTCCTGGCACAACTTCAACCGTTTGGGAGTCAAGTCGGGCATATGTCAGTGCACACCGTGCACCAAAAGAAGTCTAGAGAAGCAGAATCCACACTTCGTTCTGAGGCCATTGCTAGTAGGTTGGAGGCCGTCGCTTCTGTCAGAATGGTCTCCTCTTCCAAGGTTCGTTGCAAGACTCGTGGGATGATCCGACAAACCTCCGGGAGCGCTTCCACGGCGTGGACTTCTTTGAGCCTCCGAAACGCATCCGGAACGCTTTCAGTGCCTTTTTGGTATTTCTCTCTTCCTCTTCCTTTTTCTTTCTTTCTGCTAGCGATGGCCAACCTAAGAGCCAACTATATTTGACCTTTCTTCCTTTTCGTAGCTCCTGAAGCTACTAGGAGCAAGTGCATCGCTAGTAGGAACAAGTGCCTTACTAGTAGTAACAAGAAGCTATTAATAGCTTCTTGTTACTACTAGTAAGGCACCTGTTACTACTAGCGTGGCACCTGTTACTAATTTAAACTATAATAGCCCCGGTTCTTCAGACTCTCGCCCGTTCGGCTCGCGTCTGAAGTCTCGCATGTGGCAACTCTAACAAGAACTCTTGGGCCCTTCTCGTCCTTTTTCATCCTTATTCTGACTTCCTTTTCAATTCTTGAGTTCTTTGGGCCAAATCCCTGCCTTTGCTATGTTTACCAGTTTCTGTCTTGACCTTTACCACTTGCTCCTTAGAAAGCAACTTTTCTGAAAACAACCGTGGTTCTTTGAACATTCCACCTCCCAAAGCGCACTGCTAAGGCGGACAATATGCCAATCCCAGCACCGAGGTCCACAGCCACCTGTGGACGGGACAATGGCGGGTCTTCTTTCAGATGAGTCCCCTCAAGGCGTTCCACGGAAAAGGTGCCATAGATCATAAATAACAAAGCAGGAAAGGACCAAACCAGCGAATGTTTCTAAACACATCCTTTTCCGGCTTTTCTATTTGCCCCTTTTCTTTAGAACCTTTTTTATTCCTTTATTGCTTCCTTTCTCTCCTTCAGAAGACTTCATTGTTAAACGGGTGAGGCGTGTGCTTTCCGCTTCTCGCTGCACATCTCCCCAGCCTTTCCCTCAAGCTCTGTCCTGTGCTCCAGCAAGCATCTTGCATAAAACCGGTGTCGGCTACTGTCTCGCAGCATCATCAGGTGCATCTCAGGGTCGTACACCGCTCTGAGATCCTCTCGGGAGACCTCCAATGGATCCGTCATGGCTCAGCTTTTCTACTGAAAATGCTCTTTGCACTTTGAAGGGCTGCCACCTTGGACATGGACTTGGCTTGAATCGGCAAGCATGATCTATAAATCTCCAGGTCGGAGGCTGATTGTCCACCAACTAACCCTCCGAACACACTTTATGGGGTGAGGATCACGGTCACAAGAATCTTGGGAGCCAATGCACGGCCAAATCCCACCACTCGCGACTCGCGCGAGGAAGCCGAAGGTGCTTCGTTCGGGCTTAGAATTTGTGCAAATTGGAATTCTTTGCTGGCCTTTTCAAAGTGTTCCAAAATCTTAGCAAATGTTCGCTAGTTTCCCAATCTACACTCTGGTGGGCTAATTGAATGGATCCTTGTGTCGGACTTTGACCTTCCTCAGCTCCCATTTCGCAGGGCTTCTTGGCCTCATCTCGGCACTGCTCTTGAGTTGGTGGAGCCCTGGAGTCTCACGGAACGTGCAATGGCAAAAGTCGGAACTTCCACTGCAAACATCTGGAAACAAAACTAAACGGCGCAACGGTTTCCGACTGGGAAGAGAGGGCTCATGCTAACAAGCACGCCGGAGTCTCCACAAGACGGGCTGCGGCATTGGGGGATGACCGTGTGTTCCATGCAATGTCAGAAACGAAACAGGCGACTCATGTGCCCTGTGAATGACATTGTTAACCATCTTCTGGCGTGAATTCGTCAGCTTCAAACCTGCTAATTACAACTCCTGAGGCATGCTATAGCTGCTAGTCAGCATGAACTGAGTCAACTAACTCATACATAATCCTGAGCCCAGGATCAAGGAAGCACGGCAAAAGTCAGTGTCGTGCAATTGTCAAACTTCTTGACATCCATTAGCTTATCTCATGGAGCCCATCTTTTGCACACTGAGTCTGCTTGCTTGGCATCTCAGTGGAGTATCCTTTTCCAGTGGCCCAGGCCCGCACATCTCCCAATTGACATGCATTCTGCCAGGTTTCGGCAGTCCCTACACAGCCCTTTGCTGCAATTGATTGCCAAATCACCGAGGAACGCTTGGCCGAGCATATTTGGCCCGAGACGTTCCGGTCGTCGCGCTCACTTTCCACCCACACTGGGCATCCCGGCCAGTGTGCTGTCCATCCCCAACATGGAGGAGAGACGCGTGGCTTCTGCCTTTCGTGGGAGCAATGCTTCCTTCATCGCAAGAAGCCCCACAAAAGACACGTAGAACAACCCTCCAATCTCAGCTTGCCGGGTTGTTCTTCCCGTCGAGGAATGCTGTTCCGTTCGCTAAGGCTGTGTACTCCTGTGAAAAACCTGGGAACGCTGGGAACCCTGAGCCGTTCCAAGCCTGGCTCAGGTGTGCGTTGCTCTCCTCCTCTCGCTGACGTTCCAGCTGCCGCTCGCGCTCCAGCAAAGCCTCGCAACGGGCCTTCTCCTGCACAAAGCGGTTGCTCAAGAGATCTTGCATTGAGAACAATACTGTAGTCACGACAAAGAGTCGCAGGCAAAGACAGAAGCCAACTAAAACGTTCGAGCAACATAGAAACACGAGAAACCAATAAAGCATGGAGTTGCGCAGTGGTCCCAACAGAAACAAACACCAACCACTAAACACTGCTAAACACGCCGCGTGGCCTGCATCGCAGCGGCCATTTTGCGTCGCTGCTCTTCGTGCTGCTGTTGCCGTTCTTCGGCTTCGGCTCGGCGGGCGGCTCGGGTCGCCTGGAAGTCGTTGGCTGCAAGGAGTTCGCTCGTGCATTCTTTTTGATCGGGCCGGGCCGGGTAGGACCTTCCAATAAACCAAAGACCTAAAAGAAAGAAGGGTTTGCAAGTCGGCTCACGAGATGCTAGTTTTAGGCCCTTCTTCTAAGACATAGGTGCAACACAGAAACCGAAAGACTTTCTATCAACTCAAAAAGAAAACGCACGATGCTGTGGTGGTTTCTGCCGCATGCCGCCTCGGCAGCGGCCTCGCAGCGCTGCAGGTGTTGGCGGAACTCTGCGGCCGCCTCCGGACCGAGCACGCCATACTCTGTAAGAGTGGAATCAATTGGGCCATGTGGGTAAATCAAGTTTTGGGCTTGACAAAATAGATATCTCCTTTTATCTTCAGTGGTGCAACTCGAGCATGAACATCACCCTCGGACTTGCAAGCCTGCCATTGCTTGTCTTTACACAAGCTTGGAGCTGCCTCATGCTGTGATTGCATGCCGAGATTATTATATACTCTCTCCACTAAACATCGGCCTCGTGCTCCTCAAGCACATCACACGCAGCGGCACAGCGTGCAAAGGCCTGCAAGGTGGTCCAGTGCATAGCCGAAAATCCCCACGATTGTCCCAGCATAACTCGTCACCTGAGCCTGTTCATGCCTTCAAACTCTTAGAGAAAGAGTGGCGGTTACATCATCATGCAATCATGACTTGTCATAGCTACTTCGTTACTGGAACTGGTTCGTCAAGTGGACCAAAAGCTAATCTGAATCGAACTCAAAAAAAGCGGCTTCAAGCTCTTGTAGCATCTTGGCTACCAGCCGCCACCCCAAACAAACACTTCTTCAGCTGCACGGCCTTGATGTTTGTGGGATCCAGCTCAATGGCCTCGAGGATGATCATTGAAAAACACATGTTTTTGTTTTAATAGTAGCGTCTTGTTACTAGTAGTAAGAATGCTCCTAGTAGCGATGCCAGGAGCCCCTAGTAGCGTCCTTGCTCCTAGTAGTAAGGCCAGGAGCCCCTAGTAGCTTGTTCTTTCTGTCCTTTTATGTCCAAGAAAGGTGCCACAATGCTGTTTGGCCTCACTTGCGCTGACTGACCCATTTGTAAGTGTTTCATTTGGAGTTCATGGAAACATTAGCATCTTCCACTGGAATCAAGCCTACCAAGAAGTCCTCCAGATTAAACGCTCTGTCCAGAAGTCCAAAAAAGTGGAATGTCTTGCATCTTGCCACGCACGAGAATGTTGCACTTGTGAGAGGGTAAAACTACCCGATGCGGGTTCTTGCTGGAGATGTCTCAGGTCATGACCTTGGATGCTCTTTTACTTCACCACCGACTTTTCCTTTTTTTTCTTGCTTTTCTTCACTACCTCACCGTTTCTTGGAGGTATGTCATGGTATGTCCTTATTTTTGATGCACATAGTGTTCGTCGTTCTCTTCTTGTCTTGTCTTTGACATGCCGCCCCTGGGGCCTCGCGTGCTCGGCGCAAGGCCTCCGCGGCGCAGGGCTTCTGCTTCGCCGCGTCGGCTTCGCCCAGCTTCAGCAGGGCCTCCCCAGGCGACGGTCGGCGGCGACGGTCGGATGGCCTCCAAGCCAATGGCGAGAGCTTCTTGTTTCTAATAGCTTCTTGTTAATACTAGTAAGGCACTTGTTACTAGAAGCGATGCACTTGTTACTACTTAAGACAACCATATGCTTCACATACTGACAATTTCAGACAAGCATATTTTCGTTACTAGTAGCTTCTTGTTTCTAATAGCTTCTTGTTAATACTAGTAAGGCACTTGTTACTAGAAGCGATGCACTTGTTACTACTTAAGACAACCATATGCTTCACATACTGACAATT